TGTTTCATCTAAATAAAATATATTTCTTCTTTGGTTTCTCATTTATTTTATAGTCCTTAGGTAATTTCTTCTCCATACTACAATATCGCTTCTTTCTATTAAAATAGACTTTCTGGAATGCTTTTTCCATAGAAAACCTATTTCTTTTAAAAGTTTCCATAGTGTGCTTCGACGCATTTCAGGGTAATCCTTATCATCCCGAACCGTGGCAAGAACTTTGTCTACTGTCGGAAATTCTTTTCTAAAGAAGAACGCATGCACTTTTCTTCGAAGTCTTTCTTTCAAAAGATTTTATAATTGAAATTTTGGTTTTCCTGGAGCTTTACGTGCTGTTTTCCCAACACCAAGCGTACTACTAACTAATTCCACTGTATCATCAACACTTTTACATAAATGTTTGTCTGTAAATGATTTAAAACAATTAAATATGAATGTTTTTTCATTAACTGTTAAAGGACCGATTTTTTGTCGTTTACGCGACCCTTCCAAATTTTTCATGATCACACTAGAATTCACACTGCACCTTGCAAGTTGCTACTAAACTACATTTAGTCAACTGTCAAGAATACACAACTTGGACCTCCTTACTAAATGGAAAACCTATAATCGCATTTTTGGTGAAATTTGTTGGGAAGGTATTTATCTACTTATAATTCGATTACTGTAAGAAATTTTGGAATTAAAATAAAACAAAATTGGCAAATAGGTACTTATTGAAAATAATCTTAAGATACGGCTATGTAATCTTTAATACACAGGGCTTTTGGCCTGTCCAAACATTTTTCTATTGTTTTGTACAGCTTATGTTTATAAAGGACCAATAAAAGACCCAAAACTTGTAATAGCTCAGGTACATTTATTACAATTTTAGGAAATATTTAGATTATTCTGTAAAAATATTTAAAATGACCGTACTAAGTTTTGCATTAGAAATGCTGTTTTATTACTCTCTCATGCATAAAAATATAGCACTGTTACTGAAATATTGTTGGTTGCAACCTTGTCCGGGGCAGGTATTCAATTATTCATATAATAACTCTAAATAAATACTTAGAATTCAATTTTCCCAATATAGGGCATAGCAAAACGCGCCGCTCCTGGACTATATTTCTCGTTCGCTACAGAGATGTTCTAAATTTCTCGTTTCGACCGAATTGCTCCACTTTAAAAATAGAAATCATCCCTGGAAAGTGGACGGGCATTTGTCAAATAGTTCGTGTTGCACTATATACCGCATTGTAATTGCATAGCGAAGGATAATGGCGGCGAAAACAATGACGAAGCGCCGACGGGAGGCGGCGGCGGTGGCCTCTTTACCCAAATCGACTGCGGACTTGCATACAATGAAATTATTACCGAGTACAAATTAGCTCTAAACGATGGAGCTTTTTTCTTAATTAAAACTTTCATTGACGATACTGTTAAAAGTTAAAAATACTACAACATAAACGAACACGGAAAAAACAAATTAATTATTTGCTTGAAAACGATTTTATTATTACAAAATAAACCAATTGTCATAAGCAAAAGTATTGATATGGAAATGTAAATTTAAATTTCCGATGTAATAATCTAATGTAACTCTTGTTTTGTGGGTGATTCTTTGTCTAAAATTAAGAATTACACTAACAGTATCCTCTTGTCTTTCTTTTTCTCTTCTTGCGCTTGATCCACCGTCATTGTATACAGGGTGTTTCCGAACTTGGCGTCCAAATTTGTAGGGGTGGTAGTTCGCATAATTTGAGACCGATTCGCAGATTTCATTTTTCCAAAATATTTAAAATAAAAATAATTAAAAATTATAAACAGGTACGGTCCTGTACAGCGATAGGATCGCCTCGACTCGCGCGCGCTACGCTTAGAATCGACAAAACTGCAAATCGCATCTGTTTTTGAGGACTATTGCGCTACGCGCTCAGAGTAGGACCTGCTCTTTGATTTTTTTATAATGGCTCTATTTTGTTTATTATAATATGTTGCTTTCTTGGTCTCCCCTTGCCTGCTCGTATTTGTTAGCTGATTTCCACCTTTATATCGCCCCTTTTCTTTTGTATTTTATCACAAAATCAATTTGTGCTTACCTTGTTGAATCAATTTACCATTAGTTACATGTTACTTACATTTAATGTTAAATATAGTGGCAAAATAGTTTAATGATCATCATCGAACTATCAAAGAACTAAATCGATTGATTTGGTTTTCGTAGTTGCCTTATATAGGTATTTTGTTTGATGGCTTTGATCTCAGATCAACTTATTTATAATTTTAACAAATTACTACAATACAATAATGATTGAGGGAAGTTCTAGATTTATTTATTTTTGTATTTTATTTCATATTAGACGGTCAGGTCGGGTCGAACTTATGAAACTTTTTTTTTGAAGTTCTACGTAGCCAATGCTGAGTTTTTAAATTATAACCAAGTATTTAAAAAATATATAAAAAAACTCTTGTTTTCTTATCTAAAAAAACAAATGCAAATTTCGTATAACTGAAACTCGTCAAGAATCACCTTGTAAATAATAAAATTTCACAATAATCTAGCTAAATGTATATGATACACATATAAAACACATAAATTGCTTCAATTTAATGTTCACATCATTGCGATGCCTTTCAGTGCATAAAATGATGTAATCACGGCAACATATTTTCTATGTTAACGGAAAAATATTAAACTTGACCACTTCATAACAGTTTTATAACATGACGCCTAAAAATCAGTTAACTATCCAAGAAAGTGACAACCAGTGTTCGTTATGGCGTTCTGTAGGAAATTCAATATTTTCAAAATGAAAAGTTCCCCAACTTTAATCGAAGTAAGTTTTTGGTCTGTTTAAATATACCTACATAATAACAAATCAGTTAATTATTTCGTTTTGTATCAACGAATTATCACTAGTAATACCACTAGAGGTCAAATTATTTCCGGAAATTTTTTCGAGCTCATGAATATTTTGAAAATTTCCCGAGTCGCAGACGAGGGAAATTTTCTTACAGCTTCCTAAGAAGAAAGTTTAACAAGACTTACCAGACCCAAAATATCAAAATTTTACCAACCAATTGATGGTTCTACTGGTTTTCATAGGAAAATTCTCCTCGAAACTACTAAAAGAAAAGTGGCAAAGGCAACTGAAGAAGGAAAAAAAGTCTTTTGCAAAACAAAAACTAGAAATTTGTTTAAGAATCTAATTATTGTTTGGAGTTTTACCATTACTAATTTTTGATAACGATTTAAGATTATGAAGTTCTATTATGTATTTTACTCTTTGATAACCTATGTTCAAATTTTTATTAGGACCAACATAAATTATAATTTTCATTTCAACTACAAAAACCCTCATAATATTAAAAAGGGGAAAAACGTTAGATTAGTTATGTTCAGGAATAAACTCTTTAAACATTTATCTACTTAAAATGTGTTACTTTTAGAAGGTATGTTATTAACTTTCTATTTGTACTTGTATTAATTTATTTTATTTTATTATCTGTTGTATTTTCAAATTGATTTTCATATTACTCCTATCTATTTATATATTTTTTATATTCACATATATGTTTTTTTCATTGAAACAAACGTTTATAAGCTTATTAAATATAATGAATTCATGTTGTTTTATTATATGCTTGTATGAATGATTACTTTTATTTCATTTTAAAAATGAACTTTGAAGATAAAGCCGAAACGGTGAGTGAGAACAAAAAATTAGACGAAAGTGACGATATTTACTGGAGCTTTCATCTACACGCTCCTTTTTCTAGCCATCTACACCTGAGCCAGCAAGATTCGTCTTCCCTCCATCCTTACATTCTCCAGATTTACAGAGAAAACGCCGTCCTCTTTAACATATCCAGACCTTCTTTGACGGGGACTATACTACTACATTATCAGCTTTATTTGTTATCCCGAGCAATTTAAATGCATTCGTGATTGCTCATTCTCACCTCTTCTCTTGTAGATTCCGTACTCAGTTTTCTTATTTTTAGTTACGTTTGCATTACTCTTTTATTTTCACAGCTTTAATTCTATAATACTGAAACGTTACAATATGGATCCATTTTTGTGGTTTATACTATTTAATCTTATTCGTAAGTGACCAACCTATTATAATAATTAAAGATTATTGTATTACAGTCCTGAAGATGTTCCTGTAAGGCCGAAACTAGTCGCTCCTATATTTATTTATAAAATTGATTTTAAGGTTTTATTCTTCAATTGAAAAAATTAGATCTTTACAGTGATTTTGTTTAATTTCCTGCATTAGACACATATAAGACGGTATTCATTTTAAAAATAGTAAAATTAGCAATTTTTTTTAGTTTTTTCTTACAGTTAAAACGTTTGGACAATGTGTGTTTTTATAGATAAATGGTACGCCACTGAACAAGAAGGATGTTTACCTTCCCCCTTGTGCCCGCTTCCTCACTTCCTCTGCAGATGTTGCTAACACAACAATCGCCTACAAACTCGTTTTCACGCTCCCTCTATTAGTAATTGCTCGGAGTAATAAACAAATTAACTTACCAACTCCAATTTCGGAGCACACGTCACAACTTTTGACTCAAGTCAATACCACCATTCTAAATATAAAAAGACTTTTAATTTAAACTATGGAGAGCTACTACTGGAAATCTCCTACAAGGATGACCTCCTATGGGGAGGATTCGTTCCCTGTGGAAAGAGCCCTCGACATTACCTTTATAACCTTTTCATAGTTTATTGTTATCAAAACTAATGTTTAATAATTATTAAATAACCAACCTTGCACATTATTGCAATTTAAAACAAATTTTCGACATAATTAAACAAAGTTTTATGTACAGGATGTTCTTTATACGAGTCATGACAGTATCCTACAATCGCCGACAGCCGGCGTCTTTTCTCATTTGGACACCCGATATATACATATTTCCAACACCTTTTTAGCTAAATACGGCGTTTTAGCTTTCAGTAGATAACTTCCCAAATACGCGTTTTAACGAAATTTTATTGTTTTCAGGGCTCTGCTGATTCTAACTATTCCCAACCTTCATCGGATCTATCACTTGACGAAGAGAAAGAGACACTGCGAAGAGAAAAGGAACGACAAGCACTTAGTCAACTTGAAAAAGCAAGGGTAAGAATTTGATTTTCCAATTATCTTTGAAAATGTACATTACCACATCGAACTAGACAAAAAAATAAGCGGAAATTTAATACAATATTGCGATATTAAGTAAATAGAAAATTCTAATTGAAAGCAGAGAAAATTGAGACTATATTTAAAATTGAGACTTGAAAGTAATAATAAAATCGATAAAAAAAATAAAAATAAAAGTCCCTGTCTTCATTATAACTACTTAATAACAATTTTCAATAATTAAGTCAAATAGAACAATGCGTGAGCATCAACTAACAGCCTGACCTCACTATAGCACTCAAGGCGACGACCCATCATTTCGGTCTGCCTGGGAGAACGCAGTCGACGGCCCACTACCACCGCCATCACATCCCGCACTATCCACTCTTGACTGCCAATGTTCTTTACATTATATTACAATGAGTAATCACACAAAATTTGTTTACCTGCTAACATACTGGTATCATTATCATCGTCTTTTTAAGATTTATTATTATAAGATCTATTAAGTTTTCCATTGCTATATCCACGTTTCAAAATAAATTTTAACACGATCAATGCATAAACAAATTTCGTACATCAGGTAATTTAAATGTATTGTTTCGAGAAACATAACATTTTAATTGTGACCAGATCAGTTCAATGGTGTTTAACTTTCAGAGGTAAAGAGGCAATCTGAGAATTTCAACGCCTTTTTCTCAGGCCATCTTGACTATAATATATTTTCTGAATTTGTTTTTATGTTGCCTTGCTATTACGAGTAATCCTGCCCTCAAGGATTTAGGAGCGACCGATAATATTTTTAGAATGAATCCATTTTGTGTCTATCTTGTTGTAGGTAGTGACTCCTCTAATCAACTGTGATAGGATGAATTAAACAAAACAATAACACAGTTGGCTGAATTTTTTTTATAACCGTTTCTTTATGGTAGTCTTTTGATTTCTTTGAACATTAATAAACCATCTGGTAAAATCTATCGATGCTTACAATGTGGGTTATCATTAAACGATTTCCTTTTCCCATTGGATTTTTTAATCCACAAAAGACCCCTTGTGCATTGAAAACTAAATAAAATAATACAATTTAACGCAATTATTTATTTTGTATATTTATCTATCCTTTCTATCAAATATATATAGACAAATAAATGTTTATTGTTATCAGAGACAGATTGCAGTACTCATTTAAGCTTATTCCTGCAGCAATTAGAACATTTCTCTAGGTACGAACACTCAACTAATTTGTTTATTATCCTTACAAAATTCAGGAAATTTTCATTATATATTCCAGTTTTAACGTGTTGTAACTATATTTTTTTTTATTGCAGACGAAACCGGTAGCGTTCGCTGTCAGGACCAATGTTGCCTATGATGGCTCCGTTGACGATGACTCTCCAGTCCATGGATACGCTATTTCCTTCGAAATTAGAGATTTTTTACATATTAAGGTAAAAATATTAAACAAATCACCATTATGCACACAGCACATATACCTAATTACTAGTTTATAGTTAATTTCAGATTGGAGAAGTCAATGTGGGCAAGATATATATATCAATGAATCTTAAACTTTGGTTGCACTGGTACCATATCTCACAACGGTGACATTCCGATCTGGTTTTTATATGAAATCAAATCCTACTGTTTGCGCCACTTTTAAAGTCGGTAAAACTCATTGCGCTTATAAAATTGTGGCGTCGCGCCACTGCAGTGGCTGATTTCGTGTGGTCCGTATTTGAGATTATGTGAACCGATAGTGTTGTAATCAATCTGATTATTAGCCTTTGCTTTACCTACTGCAGCGTTTTTTGTTTACCTCACGTGCAGGTTTTCCAACATTAATGACGTATCAGATTTTCACTTTATTTATACATAATTAGGGGATATCTTGACATATGAGTAATAGATTGGCTTGTTAGTATTAATTAGTTCGGTATAAACTTTTTATTTAAAAATGAACAAAAAACCAACTGCTTCATTGTTACATTCTGCTTTGAATAAAGTCTTCTTACATACTTTTAATGACACACACTTAGTATTTTTAGCTTCTTTATAAGTGAGTTGCTGTCTGTCATGTTTAAATTTGTGTCACAGTTTGTTGTTATTGGTCAAATATCATTTATTATTTGTATTAAAAATTGAATTTGAATTTTTGTTTAAGAAATACCTTTTCCAAGGAAGAATTCGAATGTTTTTAGTAGATAGTAGACCCAAAAGTATTTCTTCTACTTTGGTCCCAAGCTCTATCATCTAATCCCTATACATCTAAATCAAATAAGTAAACTCTCAAAATTCAAAAAGGACATTAAAATATTTATATCAGTTAATTAGACCACGATTTTTCTTGACAAGATCAAGCTAAACCCATTGTACTGAAAAAACGCTATTTAATAATAAGCAATATTTCGATGAACAAATCCAGTACCAAATTTATTATATAATTGCTTAGAAAATCACTTTATTTTAGCTGAGAGATAATTTTCTTTCTCAGCTATATCCAGGTTCGTAGTTAAAAGAAAAGATTTAAGAGCTTTTAGCCGTTCTTGGTAGCTTTTCAACAATCTGATCCAGGACCAGATTGAAGACCAGTATCAGATTGGAGATGTAAGGGCTTAGGCAATCATCTTGTCTCAACACTTTTCCTGTGTTTTTCTACCATTCTTAGAGATATTCTATTATGTATCACCTTATTTACCTCGTTCCAGTTGCAGTTGACCTGGAAGAGTCTGTTGCAGATTAGGAGGGATGTCATGTGATTTGATTCCATGTTTAATATAAAATCATTTACTTTATGTGTTATTTTATATGTGTCAGTGGGTTCCAGGTGTCTCTATACTCTTTTGTATTTTTATTTGTTGTAAATTTGACTTTCTGACTACTGACTATGCAATTATTTTCTAATAAAATTGTTTGATTTTCCAGGAGAAGTACGACAACAACTGGTGGATCGGCCGTTTGGTCAAAGAAGGCTGCGACATCGGCTTCATCCCCTCCCCGGTCAAGTTGGAGAACCTGCGATTGCAGCAGGTGCAGACGAGGACCACGAAGCTATACTCGAGCAAAACCAGCTCGAGTTCGAACATCGGCGCTTCCGCCGGTAACGATGTTTCCAGAGGTAGCACTCCTCCCACGCCCGGTATGTCTTGTCCTATCCGAAAAAATCACTGTTCGCGACTTTTTTTTTTTTGATCGGCAGAATATATTGGTGTTGTCGTGTGATATTTTTTTCTTTTTTAATTGGATTGGTGTCGATTTTCGTGGTAATTTTTTGTTTTGGTGTTTTCGAAATAAGTGATTTGTACATTTTGAAAATTAGTAGTCCCAAAGTGGATTCTTGTGGTACACCCTGAAATTTTTTAGCGTGCGAAACTCTATCCTAATCACTATTGCTTATTGTGGACAATATCAAATATTTACACATTGAACCAAACAAATCAAACAAACTCTTCGAATTTTTTTCGAATAATTTTTAGTGGAAATGTGGATCTTTTTTTCTCCTGCACCAACATCACATTTTAATCTCCAGAGAATCAAAAGAGGTATAATTGCTGTTTCTAACTAGGAACTCAAATTCGTGTCCAAATTAATGCATATAAAATACATTTCTCAATATTTCTAAACGTCTATCAGGTCAGGTTAGGTTAGGTTAGGTTAGGTTAGGTTAGGTTAGGTTAGGTTAGGTTAGGTTAGGTTAGGTTAGGTTAGGTTAGGTTAGGTTAGGTTAGGTTAGGTTAGGTTAGGTTAGGTTAGGTTAGGTTAGGTTAGGTTAGGTTAGGTTAGGTTAGGTTAGGTTAGGTTAGGTTAGGTTAGGTTAGGTTAGGTTAGGTTAGGTTAGGTTAGGTTAGGTTAGGTTAGGTTAGGTTAGGTTAGGTTAGGTTATGTTAGGTTAGGTTAGGTGAATATTTCTAAACGTCTATCAGGTTCTAGTAGATTAATTTGTCTTCTAAAAGATAATATATGTATTGCGCTATAGATGACAAATTCCTTTGATTTATTTCTCTGTATTAACTTTTCTGTATTTATTTCTAGTTTTTATTGACACTTTACACACATTTATTGAAATATTTTTGGGTGTACCGATTTACAAAAATTAAATCTAAGTTTTAAACTTATTTCGAAACCACTTTCTCTAATGTATCTAAATTAACTTTTGCTTAACCTGCATTTTTGAGATCTATCGAAAAAAGTAAGTCAAGTAGTACCAGAACTTAAGTAGCACTAGAAACAAATGTTTTCTGATGGTCTTTAATTTTGTAACTTACCAGAATTAAGAGTTGTTATGCATATACGAGGTTAAAGAATTAAATAATGAAAATGTTTTATTCGCACATGCCCAGTAATGGTAGATTATCTTATATTGAGTTCTTAGGATGCTGATTATCAAAAATATTAAGTTAAATACTTTTCCAATTTACCGAAAAGATTTATAATAGAATTTTGATAATAGGAATATATATCTGGATATGAAAGAGATGGTAACATAAAAGTTATTCTCAGATACAGGATCCGCTGAAAACAATCATATATTGTAAAAAAATACACTTACCGTCACTTGCCACTTCAATAAGTTACTTTATAGAAGTAACATGTGTAATTGTACTTTTAAAAGATTCGTTGAAGATACAGGTATCAATTGCTGCATGAAAACGAAAGACTTAAAATAGCATCACTCACATATATTATGAATACCTTTGAACAGAAAATCTGAAAATAACACTACAAGGAAGCTTACAAAGTCTAAATTAAAAGGCTAATGAAATATATAGATCAGATTGCATCCATTCTAGACCTCCAAACAAATACTTTTTGGATCTCTGTCGATGTAAAACCAGAAATTGGTTTCTGAACGAGCTAGAAGCTGCTTATATACTTATGAGGATACACAATGGACCTAATGAGGCTTAAGTGGCATGGGTTAATCCACCCTTCATACGTTATCGATGTAAAAGTTTCTGTACAGTGAACTACTTGGAACAAAAATGAAAAAGGAAAACATGCGTGAAAAATCAATCTCATTATTTCATTGTTTTGCCTCGAATATACAAAACTTAAAAGCAATTTTGAAATTTGGTAATCTTATATTTTTCTATTCGTTGCCAGAGAAGTATTTTTTCAAAGTATGTGTTTTTTGTAAAACTTAATTTTTTTGTTTATACAAAAATTTCCATTTTCCGACCTAAATTTGTGTAAAAAAATTTCGTAAAATTTTTCAGTTAGTGATTCCTTTTCTTCCAAAAGCACCATCCACCTTTAGTACTTAGTGTAGATTAGTGTAGAATAGTTTGTGTAAAATGTTTTCGGTATTGCATTTAATTAAATACAAATAATAAATTTATTTACATAATATCTAACTTCATAACATGTTTTTAATTTTTTAATTAACGATCTGCTTGCCTGATAATTGTATTTAACGATGTTTATTTGTTTTAAATAACTAAAAAGTACCATATAAAAGTACAAAAGTACTCTTTTTTAATGATTTTCTTTTAAAATATGCTTGAAAACCATTTTTTCGTTTATCCTACTCACTGCGCCATATTATCTAGTATTGAGGAGTTTAAAAAAATTTATTAGATGCAACTGCAACTGAGAAGAAAACTTTTTTGAAGAAAATTCAAAACAATAATACCGCGTATTTCCTAAATAATATGCTTGAGGTAAAATAGTGAGCTTTACCAAAATAAAGCTTCATATTCATTTTGCGAATCTTTCTATTTGATGAGAATAGTTTATAAGGTTTAGATATAATGTTGAGCATACTGAACTTGATAAGTTTTTGAACTGTCTTTAAAAAACGAATGGGAAAATGTGTAATGAAAAGATCATATCATAGAAAAAATTTCTTCTGGTCAAATGGAATGAATTATCTTAACTAACACAGACAGCAAAGCCCATAATATTCACCTTTTTAGTTTTGTAAAGTAATACTGAAAAGTTTTGAATTCATCTATCTAGAAGTCACCAACTATATTTAAAATAATTATAGAATAATTAATCAATTTATATTTAAGAAATAAATGAATATTGATATATATATAAAATAAAAATAAGATAGATAAAACTTGAGAAAGAAATGGAAAAATTGGCATTTATATGGAAATCAATAAATTAATAATCTCAAAACAAAACCCAAACAACATTTTTTTAAATAATTTAAAGATATCTCTAGTACATAAATCGCTGCACAAAACTTTACACATTCACGTGTTTCGGGGCCTTTAGGCTAGAGTTTTAGACAACAGCCCTCACTCAAGTCTCTTGTCTCTTTGTCAACTATCGATAACACAGGGGAACAGCTGTTTTGATGTCGAGGTTTTTTGAGTTGATTCTATATCAATTTGATGTCCTGAATTCAAATAACGTATTCATTTTTACCTAAGAGCTCAAATTTTTAAGATATACAATTTTAGAGAAATATAAGTTACATTATTTTAACTCAGATCAGTAAGTGTAGTAAACAAAAGCAGATACGAAATTTTTATTTTAGTTATACAAAATAAAATATTATGTCGTACTTACAAACAAAAAAAACATTAAAGAAATCAAATAGTCACTCAACACTTCGAAAGCTTCTTTTAATAATAATAATAATACTCTCCCTAATTCATCCCCTTACGAGTGAATTTCAACCCCTGAAGTCGACTGAACGACTTGTGTAGGGGAAGGGACGGCTATTATTATTATTTTCCGTGGCGCTCCGGGGCGACTTAAGGATGATTGATGGTGCCATTTGACTTGCAGGTGAGGAAAACCCGGAAAACCTCACCCACCATCATCGAGACGATAATGTATGGCGATTTTTATAATCTGCATGTCATATCAGTAGAAATTGAATTTCTATTAATATGGCACACATCAAATCCTAAACCGAACCATGCAGTTTAATTAAAAATCCACATGGTCTGGTCTGGAATTCGAAGCCCAGCAGTCTCGGACTCATAAACTTGCCTATAAATGAATATAACCGCTACACCATCGACCCGATTCCGCGACATTCTTGAATGTTTTTTAAACAGTCCCTTTGTAAACATCAGCAGTAACCTGCCATCATGTGCATGTCCCATCTTCCTTGGTAGCGGTCCTCCATAACTTTAATATCTTGGTGAAATCTTTCACCTTGTTCCTCACTCATGTCCCCTAAATTTTCTGGAAAACGGTCTAAGTGGTTGTGTAAATAGTGTATTTTATTACTCAGATTGCACCCTAAGGATTTGAATCTATTAAGCATCTTGTTAACCATTTCAACATAGTCTTGAGCTTTATGTTTGCCTAGAAAATTTTCTACAACTGCAACAAATGATGTCCAAGCTTCGCGTTCAACTTGATTCATTGAATTTATGAAGACAGGATCTGTGATGTTCGTCCCTATCTACTAGGCATCGAAATAAAACTTCGTTTAACTCCAATAATTACTGTATTTATTGTAAATGCCGGAAGCCGAACTACACAACATAACCTCAATTACAATAGTAATGCGTGACCTTCTCGATATGTGTGGTAAATCGAAACTGGGTCATTGGGTCGTTGGCGTACACCTGCCAATTCAAACCGGTAGCGGAAGAGGGGGTAATGTTTGGGTTGATATACAAGGCCCTTTCGGTTGAATACATTACAGGATCCTTACCTGCTTTGAGTTTTTCTGTGCTTAACTGATGCATTTTTACCCCTATATATGCAAAACATGACCCATTCTTATCAAGAGCCTTTACAAATTGCTTCATTAAGCCCAACTTTATACGTAACGGAGGAAGTATGTATTTTTCTCTTTCAACCAAAGCGTCGTTTATGACATTCTTTTCCCCAACGTCCATGTTTTCTCTTTGAGGTCAATCTTTTCTAACCCAGTAGTGTGTTTTGTCCCTACTATCCATGGGCGAAGTTATGTCATCAGATCTGGGGGGGGCTAAAGCCCTAGCCCAAGTCATATAATATATAATAGTTCTAGAGGTATACTGAAATCAAGTAAACAAATTCTGGCAAATCTATGAAAATGTGTAAAATATCATATAATATATATTTATATTAAGTGAAAAATTTTCATCACAATAATTTTCCCCATTTTCGCAGTCATGAAATAGTAGTTTGTGCAACAAGAGTAGATATGGACAATCCACTCGAGTTATACAGTATATTTTTTCTATGAATCACTAACGAAAATTTACAAATTTAAAAAAATATTTTAGGTTTAGACAAAATAACTAATTTTAAAATAATTTATGAATTTTATTAATTCATAAAATAAAATCAACATAAAAAAAATTAGCCCCTAGTCCAGATTCGAATCCAGGCTATTCGCGTGGAAGGCAGATGCTCTGTCCTCAGCTACACCGTCATTTTTAGGTTTTTAGTTTTAATACTCGTAATTAAATTAGTTTCATACAATTTGATTAAAATTTATTTTTTTTTAAATGTGGCCCAAATAAAAATTAAAATGCTATTTTTATCGATTCTAAACAAAAATATCAAATTTTAACGTATATGTAATCTTAATGATTAAAAAATAAAAAATATGAACTGTAATTGGTGGATTTCATTTTTTTGCAGTGTTCTCACTATGTTATGTTATTTTGGGAATGGGGTGTTAATACACTGCGACATAAAAGATTTATTGTACCCCTTCTGTCGCTAATGCAGCAAGGAAATGTCTCAATGCCTATTCGCGATTCAAATTAATTTTCGCGCACCTGTCATTTGTCCCCTACAAGTGACAAAAGTGGGCAAAAATTTTCTGATAATAATTTAGGCACGTGTGGTATTGGGTAAGAAAGTTTTACACCAAAATATACAAATTTCAAAACTTTACAGATATGCATTAAAACGACTAAAATCAAATTTTCAAAGGTGGCCATACCACAAAATATAAAACATATGTTTTATATGCTGTGGCCATACCATGACCATTTGCCATATTTGAAGTCGTTTAGTTGACGCGAAAAACCTAATTATTATTAAAATTAATGTAGTGTTTTTCTACCTAGTTATAATTGGTATTAAATAAAATATTAACCACTGAAATGGCAAATTTTTTAATCACACTATCGCGTTGCGTCGTAATATTATATGCATGAAAGAGTTGCTCAACTGTCAAACAAATTTTCAGTATAATTTCGTTCAGGGTACCCACCAAAAGAAAAATTTCCGGAAATTTTTCTGGTTGTCATGGAAGCGTTTTAAAATAACAGCATTTGATTGGCTATAAAATAGAGGTGTAAAATTATAATTTAATCTATCACGTGACAAATTTTCAAACCCGGGAAAATAAAAGCAAAAATATTATATTTTTGCGATTTAGAAGATGTTACCAGACTCATTAGCCAATTTCGTAAATCAGCCAGACTTATTATTATTCATGATTGTATCAATTTTATATGCTTAATTTTCTGCCACACTCACTTTCCACTATCTAAGATAATCCAAACTGCTTTATGTTTTAGTTTAGTAAATGTAAAATAATTATGACTGGGAAAATAAGTGTCAGACTCAACAATTTTGTTTTTGTCACTAAGAGAACAGTTTATTTTCATATACACCGACTGGAAAAATGAATACGAAAAAAATTCACTGCCTCCTGAACTAAATGTAAAATTGCAGAATCAATTTATTTTATTTTTTAATTTCTGTTCTGAAATCTGAAATGTATGGGTGGATGTGCGATAAATGTTCTAATTATTTTTGGGGGGGCTAATTTGGTTTTTGGGGGGGCTTAGCCCCCCCAAGCCCCCCCTTAACTTCGCCCATGCTACTATCCCAGAGGCACAAGAAACACGGATATTTCGTGTAACCACTTTGCTGCCCAAGAAGAAAGTTTACCATTTTTAAGTTTACACAAATCATCCATTGATGTTCGTGATACTTTATCTTCTGCAAGACCAAAGCTACGGTATTATATTCTTCTTTCAGTTTCGTTGAGTGAGCTAGTGGTATTGAACCATATTTATTCCCATTATGTAAAAGGACACATTTTAAACTTCGCTTTGAACTGTCAATAAATAGGCGCCAACATCTGGAATATATTCAGAAACTTCCATTTCTTTTATGAGTCCATTAATTTCGTGATAAAATACAAGATTGTCTTCTTGAGAAAAGAATGGTAGCAGATACTTTTTTCTTGTACGGTAAAAGGTAATTTTGATTCCTTGTTCCAATAAATTTTTGTCGTTCAACCTAGAAGCCAGTACTTCAGAAGCTTTTTTCGATAAATTGAGATCCCTGGTGAGATCTTCCAATCGCTCTCAAATTATGCGAACTACCGCCCCTACAAATTTGGACGCCAAGTTCGGAAACACCCTGTGGTTAAATTCTACAATTTTTTCACCCTGTATAGTTAAAATCAACTCTAAAATCCCAGGCACCGAAAAAAAAAATATTTTTTGTTGCCCTGTGTAATCTATTTAAAATAAAAATTTACTTTTTAGAATATCAACGTACTTCCTTAGATAATTCTCTAATTAAATTGATTAAAGTAATAACGTAATTGTTTGGTTTATTTCAATACGTGTATTCTCTTTTTAAATATTTATTTAAAACATTAAAAACTGCATTTTAGAATTTTTGTGTAATTCTTTATATTTTACTATAAAAATTACCTTTTGACTTACAACACATTTATGTATAACAAGAATTTGCTTCGAATATGCAGTCGTTCCCAAGATTGAACTAATTTCTTATATCTAACCGCTTCATCGGTATCCTTACACCAGGCCTCTAACTATATTCCCTACTTTATTCAAATTTACCTACAATTCATGTCTGAAATTATTTATTTATTTGTTTGTTTGCCTCCGCCTGATGAGGCATATATACCGAGACATTCGAGCCGTGTGCGAAGTCTGTTTCGCATTTTACGACTGGTAACTAGGTTGGCAGGCTGATTTTTCGCTATCGTTCATCTTCTAATAATACCGTTGTTTTCAGGGGACGAATCCGATTCTATGGGCAACACTAGGCAGGGCAAATCGCTCACCACACCCCCGGCGAAAGAGAAAAAGAAGCCGTTTTTCAAAAAGCAAGAAGCGACCGCCCCCTATGACGTAGTTCCTTCCATGCGACCCGTAGTGTTAGTCGGTCCTTCCCTGAAAGGATACGAAGTCACAGATATGATGCAAAAAGCCTTATTTGATTTTTTAAAACATAGGTTCGAAGGAAGGTGAGATTTTTAACTTCTACATGAACCAAAAATACTTGTAATCGAAGAGATTGGGTTAGATATGCCAGTGAACGAACGGCTCATTATTGTTTTCTTTTCAAATATTTAAACTAATATGTATTTTTTGCATTTTTTTCAGAATAATTATAACTAGGGTAATGGCGGATATATCTTTGGCGAAGCGATCTCTTCTAAATAACCCATCGAAAAGGGCAATAATGGAACGGTCGACGACGCGATCTACATGTCTGTCGGAAGTGCAGGCGGAAATCGAACGGATATTCGAGCTGGCGACTACCTTACAACTAGTGGTGCTGGATTGTGATACTATAAACCATCCTTCGCAACTTGCCAAAACTTCTTTAGCTCCTTGTATTGTCTATCTTAAAATTAGTAGTCCTAAGGTAATTCGTTTTTTATTTATTATATAAGATAAATTTAACTGAAGAACATTCCCTTGGGAAATTCAAAGATAGATGGAATGAAACAAGAAACTGTAAAATTCATCAAAAAACATTATTATTGTTATTGTTTACAGCAAAAAAATACTAGACCATGACTAAACAAAATCTACGCCTAATCACAGGCATTCTTGCCGACAAGTGCGTCTGAATGTCCTCCTGTCCCTCCAGATTAACACAGTACATATCAATTATATTTTCTACTTGGATACAGTTTATGTATTATCAAACTATTTCTATCCGAGGTAGGTAAGAAATATTAAAGGCTTTCCTTGTATTGGGAGTTGTAGATGCAACTGAAATTTCAATGGAAATGCCAAAAAAATTTAGGCAACAATGCGTATTCCACTTATAAACAGAAATACCACTAAGTTTTTAGTAGGGATTGCTGTTGGTAGTGCCATCAGGGCCGCCGAGAGCCAGGCCGGGCCCCAGGACAATTGTCTAGATCGGGTCCCGTGACAAAAAAATCTTTAACCAAAAACTGTTTCTCTTCTGCTGAAATAGAAAAAAAAAGGTCCCCGCATCAAAAAACTATTCTCCCTACAATTTCTCATGCAGAACAAAAAAACCTGCTGCCGGGCCCCCCTTACAGCGCTGCCGGGCCTCCATTTAAGCCCGGGCCCCGGGAATTGGTCCCGGCTACCCCCCTCTAGTCGGCCCTGGGTGCCATAATTAATTGATCTGGAAGGTTTGAAGAAACATTGTCTAATAGCGAATGATTAGCAAAGTGTAAGTTAAAGAATTTTTTACAAGAAGATGACTGCATATTGGCTGAAGTTTTCTTATTAAAGATGTTGCAGATGAAATGAAATTTTAAGTTATACGTTTATCTAAAAAAAAATAAAATAGCTATATCGAGAATACATGTGAAACGTGTCAATCATAGGTGTATTAGTAAGTCTAGAAAGGATGTTAGTGGACTGTACTTAGATTGGACTGCTGCTTATATTTGTAGAGATTATCCTGAAAGAGCTGGTGTATGGGGAAAATAATGCTATTATATAAAGTAATACATATATTGTAACAATAACCAGTGGTAATTCATTGCCTGGGTCAATATTGAAAAGTGGCATCCCTGCTAAGAAGCTTCTATGGATACTAATAGTACTAATTACAATGTAATAATAGTAACTATATTATTGATTACACAATCAAATCAAAGGGGGGGACTAAAGAAGGAGAGTTACCTGTTCTATCTATCTATCTGAATTAGAGCGTGGTTCAAAGCTCACTTGTACTGAAGTTCTAGGCTTATTGTACCCCTCACAGTTTCTATCCCATCAGATTCATTTTCTTGATGAATTCAGGAATATGTCTGATGGGCGCTTTCGCTTCAGGTTCCGGATATTGTACTCGAAGTACCATTCTCGTTCCCATTTAAGGTTTCGACAGTGGCATAGTATGTGAATAGGAGTTTCGTCCTACTTTTCACATATTCTACATAGGGAGTCATCAGATATCCCTTAGAGATTTAGGTGTCTTCTAAGGCCGCAGTATTCCGTAAGGAGTCCTATTACGGCCTTGAGTTCGCTTCTGCTAAGGTTTATCAATTGATGTTGTCTGCTCGTGGATGGCCCCTCTATGAATCTTTTAATAATAATAATAATAATAATAATATAAAAGTTTTACAATAGTACACAAACATATGTATTGTAACTTCAATGTAAATAAATCATTGACCCCATTAAAACTGTTTAGTCGAACGTGGGAAATGCCAATTTTTATTAAAAATTGAAATTGCCAAAACGCAGTAGATAAAAGAAATTATAATTAAGGTATACATAATGACTAAAATAATAAAATAATAATAATAATAAGATTTATAACTTATATAACTAAATAATAAAAATTTAAATTGGTAAAAAAAAATATAGTCTATGTCCAGGAAGTTCCATCCAAAGCCTATGGTGTTCTCTTTTTATTTATTCCTTTAACACCCATTTAAAATGTTGGTATGAGATACTACACGTGGGTCCTGGTCCAATAAGAGTTTTTTCCGCTTCCTTCTTTGCTAGGAGATCTTCTTTCTAATTTCCAAACACTCCCTCATGTCCTGGCACCCATTCAAGGGTGACCTTGTTATGTTTTGTCAGGGCCTGGAGGGTTTGTTGGCAATCAAATATTGATTTAGATTGTACTTTCACCCTTTTCAGTGCTTTGAGGGCTGTCTGACTATTTGTCATGATAACGATCCTCTTATCTCTAAGAGAGCCATTTAGCATGATTTTGGCGCAGGCATTTATTGCTGTTGCTTCAGCCTGGAAGACTGTTGTCAGTAACCCCAGGTTCAAACTAATTGTCCTCCCTGAGTTCACATAGTAGATCCTAGTTCTTGTGCTGTTTTTCATTTCCGAACCGTCTGTATACCAGATTGATTCGTTTTGTTTTTCCCCATTTTCCCGGCTTTTGGCCCTTTCTGGTATTTGAATGTCAAAAGGTTTCCTGAAGTCCTGAATAATGGGCGTTCTATCCGATGGCATTCTTAGTACAGGATTTTGTTTTAATTTCTTTAATTTCATTGTGTGCTGTCCTTTTTTCGAAAGTTCCCATCCAAATCCATTAGTAAACAGCCTGTATGCCGCCGCCATAGCTTACTTCTCCACCACAAGACCTAGCTGTAGCTCCATTGCTGCTGTGGGCGTAGTTCTAAATGCCCCTGTTATTATTAGACAGGCTAGTCTTTGCACCCTGTCTAATTTTTTGTTAACTGTTATGCTTTTAGTCTTGTGCCACCATATGACTGATGAGTAAGTTATAACAGGTACTACAACCATAGTGTAAAGCCAGTACATCACACTTGGTTTAAGCCCCCATACGTTCCCTACCATCCGTCTACAGGCCCATAGTATTCTTACAGCTTTTTCTATATGGTTGCAGAAGCTAAGCTTGTCATCAAGAGTGATTCCAAGATATTTAACCTCTTTTGCCATTTTTAGATGTTGTCCCCATATATAAAGCTCCTTCATTCCTTGAAAGTACCTTTTTCTTGTGAATGCAACAACAGAGGTTTTTGTCGGGTTTATGGACAATCTCTTTTTTAGGCACCATCTTTCGACGATATTTAGTGCCCGCTGCATCCTTTCGGATACAACAGACCCAAATTTACCGTTTACTACAATGCTTATGTCGTCTTTAAATACTTGCGTGTATAAGTTTTCTCTCTCTAACTCCCATAAGAGGTTATTAACCACCAAAATCCACATAAGAGGAGATAACATTCCTCTCTGCGGGCATCCCTTGTTAACTGATACCTCTCTTGTTGTGTTAAGGAGATTACTGGTAATGATTCTATGATTAAGCATAAAATCTACCCACCTCGTAATGCAGTGGGCTACTCCACGCCTGTGCATAGATCCTAGTATTGAATTGTATGAAGCCGAGTCAAAGGCTCCTTCTATATCTAGGAAGACTCCTAGTGCTATTTCTTTGCTTTCCAATGCTTGTTCAGCCTGTTGAGTTAGCCTATGTATGGCTGCATCGCAAGACTTTCCAGATTGGTAGGTAACGGTTTATCCCGTAGAACATCGTCCCGTATATATCTATCGATCAATTTCTCCAATGTTTTTAGGGATTTACCTGTTACAGGCACCCGACAACTGTGATTAAGCGCGAGTTCACTTCACTTTTTTGTTACAGCTTTTTCCGGTGTGTTTGCGATAAGGGGGAAGCTCACCACTGTTAGAGAATTTACGTAGGGCCTTTTTTCTATTCATTTTTGTCAATTGTTCACTATCTAGTTTACTGAGGGGGTGTCTGATTTGTTCATAATATTGTGACTATTAGAAATAACTCTTAAACTCTTTTGAGATACTCGTATTTATGTTGTAGACCAAAACATATTATGCTTGGTTGGCCACCTGATGCTCTTGGAGCTTTAACAAGGCACTAACTGTTTAAATATATTTTAAGAGTAAAACTTTCTGATTTAGATGCTTTTTCATTTAACTGGCAGCACCAATATTACTAAAAATCTTGTGAGATCTTTCTTTTATGACTAGTGACTATAATTTGGAACTATTTTCCTTACCAGATTACTTGAACACCCAAAGCTTTTACACCGATATTAATATAATAAATCTGATGTTACTTAACCTGTCTATTACACGGTACTTAAAATATATGTTCCAAATTCCACTCAATTCTTTGTCAATAGTAAAAATATCGTCTGAGTAAAATCAGGTGAATAAGGAGTGAAATGTATAAAACCGTTTATTCATAGTTAACCTGTAATTTAAAATGTTTTAACGTTATTTTAGGTTTTGCAAAGGCTTATAAAATCAAGAGGAAAAAGCCAAGCTAGGCACTTAAATGTTCAAATGGTCGCTTCAGAAAAGCTAGCTCAATGTCCGCCTGAAATGTTCGACGTAATTTTAGACGAGAACCAGCTGGAAGACGCTTGTGAACACATAGCAGAATATTTGGAGGTTCGTTTTATTTTATTTTTGTTTTTGCTCGAAGATATTATTAACCAACCTCTTCATGTCTCTCCATTTAATAATCTGCCTAAACTTTTAACAGTACGAAATATATTTATATAAACAAAAAGCACCAAGAAATGATAAATTGAATCCATAGAAAACAATATGTGTACACATTTTAAATGAAAAAAATTGGTAGGGACTTACTGTAGATAGAAAAGTATAAACCAAAGAATAAAAGAAAGTGAGTGCATTAGCAGGACTAAGAAGATCAGCCAGAGACAATTTCCTAAGTTGAAGCAGGTTCTAATAATTCACTAATTATCCAACATTTCTTTTTGAGGAGTTCTATCTTCCCCAAGGCGAAAAAATTATGTTGAGTTCTCTTATTTATTACTATCAAGCACGAAACGTTGAAGATTCAGATATTAAAGAGTCACACTCTATTCCTTCTTCAAAAAAAAAAAAACTCAAATAGATCTATAAAAATATATCAGCATAGAGGTCAATTAAAAGCTTTAGGAACAAATAAAGGAATACGATAAAATAAAGTTGCATTTATTCAGAAAATACTTATTCCTCCATCTATTATAACGCATAGAACACTAAAATGTATGAGAACATAGACGTGCTGAAATAGCTAAAAAGGGTTCGAAAATACAAACTAAAATTCTTTAACCATTTTCGGTTCAAATTATGATATTCAGAGCCAGTCTTTCACCTCTGAGTAAAGTTGAAAATAGTTACTTGCTGATTAGATTATAGACTAATCTACCAACTAACCTTACTTGTAGCTTTTCTCAGAAGTGAAAAAATCGGCCCTTAGAGTAAAAAGAATTAGATACAACTAAAAGAACAGACCGATCGGGCTAAAGCATAGCCCTCAGGTCTAAAGTAATCAAGAAAAACAAAAGTCTGAAACAAAACAATTAAAATGGCTCCTGCATACTGGATTGTTCTCGTTCGCTTCTCATATAAAATTGTAACCCTTTTTAGACAAAACTGTACTGATGTTTTTTTTCGCCAATCTTCTTAATATTGTTACACAGCACCCTGCGGCTATTATAGGAAACGTACAGATAGAAAAAGAAATGGAATGTTACTCATCGCCTACAGTATGCTGAGAAGATAGACTAGTCCAGAAATATCATTACCCGTCAAGAATATTCTAGACGACAGTTCGAGAAGGGTCAAGCAAACTATATAAGGATGATCCTGACGTCAGTTTGGAAGTGATAGACGTTACATGTTAATGTTATCAGTTGTATAATTGTTGTTAAAGTTGAGTTTAAATAAATTGCGATACCAAAAACCTGCGTAACAATATCTACTCGTTTTTATTTTATTTTAAAAATATTTTTACGATTTTAGGCTTACTGGAGAGCTACACATCCAGAAATAAGCGTTCCAAATGTTGCTAGACCAATGGGGAGTTCTCCTCAGGCTTCGCCAAGTGGGGACCAAGGAAGACCCACGTTGCCAGGTAAACCACAATTATTATTTTTACGTTTTTGTTATTTTAAATATTATTAACTAGTACTTTCTAAATATTCAGTTCTTTGGAACTGTTAGGATGCTTTGCAAAACTTTCTCCACCTTTGGTAGTCCTAAAGTATTATTAAACTATATAGTATAGTACACTATACCACGTCTGTTAATTTTATTTGCCTTCTTAATTATCTTCAATACAAGAGTTTTACGTCTATTTAGAATTTTTCATAGGAGTGTAAAAGTAGCCATATTTAAGACATGTTTCAAGCCACTCTGTATAAAATAAACCAGTTCCACGACCACTATTCGTTAGCTTGGTATTTTATAAGTCTGTATTTTAAAAAAATGTTGAAATCATTGCTAACCTACCTAAATTATAATTTTATTTTTGGTCTGCATCATTCTCTAATTCTCCAATATTTCAAGGATTAAATGACTATTCTAAAATACAAAGTATTTCATTTAAAAAATATACATTTTTATTTTCCTGGCAAAAACGCAACACCCTGTATATCCAAAAATATTTTTAAAATCCATATAATTTTTATTTAAAACTATACCACAAATTAAAATATCGAGCAATTACCTATTAATGGGACATTTTATATACAGGGTAGCTGTTAAAGATGGAACCAAACCTATAGTGCTTAAACGGTTCAAGATACAAAACCCAAAATTTCAGAATTTCAACTAAATATATTTGCGCATATTTTAGCCCAAAAATTATTTTTTTATAATTACAAAATTTTAAGCATGCGCCCCATCTTGATTTTTTTAAATAGCAACATAGGTCATGTGATATATCATTTGAAAGGGTTTAACACCCTGATTACAAAAATGTATCACACATGGGGTCTAAACAGAAATTGGCTACCTCTTCGTACGTGCATTTTCTTTCTCCATACTCAACCATCATGAGTATTTTAATTCTTTAATTTTTGGTCAATTGATTCATTATTACTAATTACTTTGAAATGATTCAATTTAACAAATTATTTTACTATTCGACACCTGTCTCTTGCATTTTAATAAACAATAAATGGTATTGTTATAATATTTGACGTTTTGTGTCAAATACACAGCCTCCTACGCTCCATATTAATAATATCCTTTCTGTTGTGTTTACACCGCATGTGTGATACATTTTTGTAATCAGGATGTTCAACCCTTTCAAATGATATATCACATGACCTATGTTGCTATTTAAAAAAATCAAGATGGCGGCCATGCTTAAAATTTTGTAATGATAAAAAAAATTTTTTGGGCTAAAATATGCGTAAATATATTTAGTTAAAATTCTGATATTTTGGGTTTTGTGTGTTGGACCGTTTAAGCACTGTAGGTTTGGTTCCATCTTTAACAGCTACCCTGTATATCAGCCTTGTAGGTTTAATAAGCCTTCTATTAATAAGTTTTCTAATTTTTCTCTATTACTGGTTATGGACTTTTAATCGTGTACGTTCTCTTTGATAGCATCCGATCACTTTTCACTCACCAAGTCTATCTTAAAGTATTCTGCAAACATATTCTAACATTTTCCTATTTGTACGTCTAAGATTTTCCTCTACCTCTACCTTCTGTTATTTTTGTTAATTAATTAAGACTTTCCGCTAATAATAACTAATACATTACTAACTGTAGATAATTGTAGCTCATTAACACGTTAACCTACTAACAATTCTTTTGCAGCGCACCATGAAGTTTACGGATATGGTCACCATGAATCTCGAGGTAGTCATGCAGCTGTTAGATACATAGGATTGCAAAGTTGGGATTCAGTAGACTCCTTAGAATCACTGTCGTTTTTATAGAAATGAATCACTGCATGATTGTCTTGCGATTGTTTATACAGAATGTCTCTTTTTTTATAACCATGTTTCATTTGTTCTGCTCTATTCAATTGGTATGGTCTAGGTATGATTATGACAATTAATCAGCTAACATTATTGATTCCATTATCCAACATTTTGTTCACAAATTGTTTCCAGAAGAGCTCAACAATCTTTAAGATCCATAAAAGTTGAGATACAATTCCTATTCGAGAGAACAAACTCATAATTATCAGCTCTCTTTTGTTTTGTAAAAGAAATTACTGCTGCTGGTTCTATGACTAAGAATGAACGACTTTGCATAGATTTCAATATTGAATTATACGAAGCTGATTTAAAGGCTCTCTTTATATCCAGAAATATTCCTAGGGTTGTATATTTTCTTTTGAATGCTTGTTCGTCCTTTTGAGCTAGCCTAGGTATGTCTACATTGCAAGACTTTCCAGATTGGTAGGCAATTTCTCCATGATTTTTAGGATAAATTATATTAGGCTGATTAGTCTGAAAGATTTGTTTCCCAGATTAACATTACAACCATGTTATTTGGTATACCTCAGTAAGACCACATTGATATTTGAGACTTCTACTAAAATTTTGTGATATTAGTATCTTCATTTTTGTACTTTATAAGTGGAGATAGTACGATACTGTCAGAAGACAATGAAAACTAAATATATCAACTCATTAGATAATATTATAACAATATTTTTCTATTTTGCCTTAATACTAGAGACATCCTGTATATTCGTATATGCATCTAAGTTGAATTTTACTATTTTCAATATTATTTGCTTTAGTATATTATTGTGCATTGAGAATTTTTTTAGTTCAAGCTACAGCGGTAACATATTTATAGTAGTTGTTAAAATTGATTCACGAAAAATTTCATTTTGATTTCTCTATTTATATAATTCAATTAGTGTTTTTATAAAATTCAATTAACGTTATTGCTTGTTTATTTTGGAATTTGATAATGTATGTAGAGTTGAAAATTATTTTGAACTTTGTGCCAAACGATAATTTTTGTAGAGAATTTTAAATAACCATGAAAAGCATATGCTGCACTGCATTTATATTTTTATATCTTTTATCGTTAAAAATTTAAGAATTAAATATAAGATCATGCAGTAAAGTAGTGTGACTAGCCTAAAAAGTCCCTTTATCACTTTATCTGGTCCTGAAAAAAAAATATATGAAAGAAGACACTCAAAAGTTGTGCTACCATCTTGGAGTTCTACTAAATATTAATTATCTCTGTCATTAATCCCACTGGATGATTAAATACTATTCTATTTCCTCTATCAGTTTCTAGTCAAAGATGAGATAGTAAATAACGAAGAGGTAGTCATAGTAGTAGTCACACAACATTCCACAGGGCGTTTGTTGAGAATTCTCGAAGAAGATCGTGCAGTAAAGTAATGTGACTAGCCTAAAAAGTCCCTTCACCACTTTATCTAGCCTGTTCCTGAAAACATTAATGATAGAAGACACTCAAAACTTGTGCTACCATCTTGGAGTTCTACTAAATATTAATTCTTTCTGTCATTAATCCAATTGGATGATTAAACACTATTCTATTTCCTCTATCAGTTTCTAGTCAAAGATGAGATAGTAAATAACGAAGAGGTAGTCATAGAAGTAGTCACACAACCATTCCACAGGGCGTTGGTTGAGAATTAAAATAAACCAATACTTTTTTGCAAAAGATATCTATTCTACTGCGTTATTTATATCCTAGATTGTAAGCAACCAAATACATCTTTCTTTTTTTGATATTAAAATCATACCTCTTTCAGCAACGCCTAAGTCAGTGGTTTTCATGTTTTCTTCAAATTTTTATGTTTACGGATACTATCCCTTCTGATAAACTAATTTAACAAGACTTATCAGTTCTAAAATTGATTCTTAACGATGCTAGCTCGTCTAAACTACATGACATGTACTGTTATTGATTAGCTGTTTGGAGGATCGAATATATCTCGATTATTTTTTATCATAGAAAATATTGTCGTCCTTCTCCAAGCCTGAATTGAATTCCATAGATATTTGTTCAATCTTTAACTAATTCAGAATAAATTAATTAGAACTGAGTGCAGCTAAATACTCTTTTCGGCAAAAGTCTCATCATTTTATTATCGGGCAAATATCTAAATTAACAAAATATGTACCTTCTTTATAAATATCTAGAGGTAAAAAGATTTAGTGCTGGGATATTGGGCACATCCCACAAACAAACAAAAAGCCGAAACACTGGTTTCTGATAATTTGAGAGTATAGAAATTGCTATGAAATGGAAACAAACAATATTTGTATAATCTCGTTGGGGTAGGACCTCTGTTTAATATTTGTCTCAAAGATTTTTTTTCCGAAAACTAGTCGCGTTTTTGTTATGTAGCAAGTTTCATTCCTAATATAAACAGGTCGATTTTGATACTTCCACCATTATATTTGGAGCAAGTCCATTATAAAGGGGAAAGTATATTTAGGGAAATTAGGAAATGACCATTATGTACAATAGTGTTTTTAGGCTATAAGCGATATTTTGTGAGCGGGTTTATCTGATAGAAGCACATAATCTCCAGCATATCCTGGAGATATATGGAGATAGGGCTGTCTTGGGCATTGGAGAGTAGTCGTATGTTAGGTATGGGCAGTTTTCTCATGGGTTAACGAAAGAGGGCGCCAAAGTGTTAGGAAGATAATTTGGGCATAACTGTTTCCACACTGACTTATGACGACCGCAGCACTCTGTAGGGCGATGAGTAACATTCCACTTCTTTTTTTATCTGTACGTTTCCTATAATAGCCGCAGACTACTGCAGGGTGCTGCGTAATATTGCTCCTTACTCTCTAGTTATTCGCCCCGAATAACTTAATTACTGGGACCTAGTTGGAACTAATGGGGAGGATCTGGAGCTATCTTTCCAATGTGAACTACGTAGAATTTACTTCCCGCTGACAATTGAATACGGCAGATCAGGTCGTTGATTTTCCGTACGGAGTAGTTGCGATTCCTGTCGATTCTAGCTTCTGTTTTATCGGTGTGGGCTTTCAGTCGTTCCCGTGAGAATCCATAGACCTTTGTTCTGCCAGTGCACATCACATTTTTTACACCAATCCGCTACATCCCGTCGGCAATTGATCCAATAAAATATTTCCCGAACTCGTGCCAGTGTCCTTTTAGTATTAAAGTGTCCTCCTGAACGGCTGCTATGAAGCTCCTCCAATACTTTTCTCACCTGTGACCTCGACAGTATCACTTGGCGGACTACATGTACTCCATCGGGGCTCTCCCACTTCCGGCGTAATAGACCATCGTGAAGATACAGGGAATCCCACTGGGTCCAGTAGCCTTTTATAGTTTTATCTCTTGCCAAGTAGGAGTGACTTTATTTTTGAGCCATTCTCGGACAACCTTTAAGTCATTGTCTTTCTTCTGTCCCTGTCTCAGACTTTCAAGGGTGATATCTTCTTCTTCACCCTCTGGCTTGATAGTGGTTGCCCGAAGAGTAACTTTATCAACCGGTTCTTCTCGTTCTTCGAGCCTTTTACCAGACCAGCATTATTCCTCTAAACGGGGTTGCCCGAAAAGAATGTATGTGTTGCTATGGAGACCTCTTCGATGCTCTACTTTCTGGTTATTGTTAGAAAGCCGGCTCGGTGTGGATGATTGGCTTCTTCTGGACGCATAGCTGCTGTAATTAATGCATATTGGTCTTAGTGATGGGCTTGAAAAGATTGATCTATATGATTTTCCGGTCTCCTATCCCTGATTCTCGATTTATAGAATGAGCCATGCTTCTACAGGTTCTTTGAAGGTGTCCGATTCTTTCGCAATTAAAGCATCTCCTGTTTCCATGTTGGCTGTTTCGTTGCATATTTTGTAGGATATTTAAGATTTGGGGAATAGCATTTTTATTGGCCTCCTCACTTTTGCGCGAGAAGATCTGGATAGGAGTTTTACCGCTTCATATTCCTGGGCTGCAATCAGTTTCTCCCTCAGCGTCTTGTGATGTTGTAGACGAAGAATTTGTTGCATTTCCACATCTTGTAGTCCATCAATAAATGCTTGTATTCCGAGTTTTTCTTGGAAATCTTTCGGCACCTGTGCATAGGCCAGATGAAACAACCTTCTTATGTCAGCCTCGAATTCCTGTAGACTCTCATTATGTTTCTGACTACGAACCTTTAGCTGGCTTTGGAATACCCGTTGCAAATGCTGCTGGCCATACCTTGTCTCCAAAGCTTGGACGAGAGATGAATAACTGGGTTCTTCTTGAGGAAGTAACTGTAAAACGGTTGCTGCCTGACCTCACAGTGACACTATCAATGAAGCCGCCATATATCTTTCTTGGTCTAGCCATTGGCTGTAGCTGCATCTTCAAATTGGAGTCGATATGTTTCCCATGTTGTCTGACCGTCAAACGTGGGTGGCTTAAGAATCTTGCTAATATAGTTTTGTGAAAATGGGATTCGAATGTGGCTTGGTTCGGTTATGGACGAAGACGAGGTAGTAGTGTTTTCAGTTTCTCTGTTGCTTATCGAAGCTTGGCTACGAATTCTTCTTTCTAACTCAACCAGTTCAGTTCTAATTTTCCTTTCGAACTCCACTCTAGCCTTTTCCTGTTGTTTTAAAATCTCTCGTTGTTCTTCTAAATTAGTTTTTAATTGCTCTTGCTGCTGTTCTAAATTAGCTTTTAGATGCTCTTGTTGTTGCTCTAACAGATCTACTCTAATTTTAAGCTGACTAACCTCTTGCTTGAGGGTTTCCTGGATTTGTAGCAAACCGTTCATAATTTCAATCGCTTCTTTTCTACGCCTCTCCTCCTTCTCGTCTTCTTCTCCTTTCCTACGCCTTTCCTTTTCCTCTTCTCGCCTTACTCTCTCCTCACTACAGAATACTTGGCATGTTGGCTGAAGCCTTAAATATGTGATTGGCCCCTTAAGTAATCTCTTATGCTTTGTTTCCATTTTATCGCATACTAATGAAGATCAACAATCAGAAACACGTGTCTATAGTTAGTCTTTCAGTTTTGCTGTAATATGTTTTCAATATATTTATTTAAATATCTATAATATAAAAAATTGCTAATTTTTCGTGAATTTCAAAAAATATGTTTAATAGTATTAAGCTATGGCTAGTAAAATTTTAAAAATATGAGTGTTTTTTTCTGGTAACAGCATTTTAAGTTTCATATTCAACATCTGTAATTTTGACACGTTGAGTTGATCGAATTACTGGAAAATTATTTGCTCATATTTATGACTTAGCGGTATTGCCTTATAGTTTAAACAAGACGAAGAAATGTATGCCATACGCTCTAGTGCCATGTTACTTTTTTAAATTGACAGATTAAATCTTTAATACAGTTATTGAGTGTGAATTTAAACTTATATTCAAAACATTTAGATATGTTTTTATGTATATTTAGAAATTATTATTAGAAATTTTTATTTGGGCTATATATTTACATTTTAAAACTAACAAATGTGCAAAATTTACATTTCCAAATTTCAAATTTACATTTTCGTATGGTAAATTTACATTTCCAAATCGATAATTTACATTTACAAACTGTGAATTTTAATTTTCAAGTGTAAACTTTTTGCGCTGTAGAAACTGTTTAAAAATTCGCTGGTTTATAAAAAAAATAGCATGGTACTTAATAAGTTTCCTCCCAACACCTACGTGTGATATAAAAATAAATTGTACAACAACACAAGTTTTTCTTTCTTTCTTTCTTTTTTTTTTTCGTGATGTTTCAGATTTTTCCGGATCTATGACACCAATTATTCCGAATCACTGATTAATAGGAAAATATCTTTTATATAAGGTTTAGTTAGGTTTTATGCTCGAAATTACAGTTAGATTTTTCATTTAATTTAAATCACGTGTTCTTAAAACATGGCTATACTTTATTGTAACGTTCGGGAACTGTTTGGAAAAACTTAATTAAAAATAATGTACAGGGTGAGTCATGGGGAACCTTACATACTTCTATCATATGTAGGATACCTTTTGCATCAAAAAATGTTAAAAATGTATGTGAGCATAAAAGCTACAAGGATTACTAGATTTCTCTATTTTTTTAGTGAAACTGTACATTGTTGTCTAGCATTTAATTAGTATCCTCAAAAGTTAAAAATGCCAAGAGAGGCTTAGAACAAATTATTCTTAACAATTAAAGAGGGTAAAAAATTAAATGATCACCATCTAATCTATAGTCCAAGCGTTGGGTGGTTTCTATTCGCAAAAGGTCGCACAGAAATGAAATTTGGTGTAGTAACAGGGGACCCATGTCTACCATCCCACCAAATTTTTGCGAATAGACCTTCTTAATTTTTACCCACCGCTTGGACTATCTAAATTTAGCCTAAAATATTTTGTCACCACATAAAACTCTGCTTTATGTATTTGTTGGTCCTTAAACAGTCTAAGCCGTCCGTTATATCAACAAATATAGCCATGTACAAGGCACGAACCTTTATAAATAAATGAAATCTGACTGTGCTAATGTTTTCTTTCTTTTTTCTGGATTTGCTTCGCTACACGCATCGCTTATCGCTAAAATTGCACAAATAAATAAAAAAAAATTTAAAAAAATGCAGAGGCGCCCGGCAAAATTCGGCGAACTGGATCAATGGATCTCTTTGCTTGAGCTTGAGTCTGGAGTTTGTAAGTTTTTCGGCTTGTGCGGTGATTGTTTTTGAGTTGAGTTTAGTGACAGTTTTTTAAATATCATCTTGTTTTCATACTAGTATTGAAAAGTACATTTTTCTTCATTGTTATACATATATGTTCGACTTAAATTTTTCTTGGCTGTGCTGGAAGGAAAGAAAGAAGAATATTCCTATGAAACTATAATAGAAGAGAGAAAGCATAAGAGCGTTGACAATCCCAATCTAATCCGCCGATTCCGATTAGCAAACAGAGTGGGATTTAAAGCGTGCCCGCTTTTTGGAAAGCTATCGTAATTCCTCCTGTTATACTCAACAAAAATTTAAGTTAAATCTGTATATACTGTGGATCAAATTAAATTTGTATATTTTTTAACAATTGAAAAAATTTAAAAAAGGTTTTAGTGAATTTTCACATTAAAAGGGATATTCATATCTAACTACAGCCGATTCATTAAACAACTCATTAAATAACTCATTAAACAACTCATCAAACTCACCAAACTTAGTAAACTCATTAAACAACTCATTAAACTCATTGGACAACTCATCAAACTTAGTAAACTCATTAAACAACTCATTAAACTCATTAAACAACTCACCAAACTTAGTAAACTCATTAAACAACTCATTAAGAGACTCATTAAATAACTAATTAAACTCACTCATTAAATTTATAAATAAATGCTGAGATTAAAAGTAAAGAAGCGAAAAATTCTGCAAAAAAAAACTAACCCAAGGACTTGAATAAACTTGTAGAAAGTATAAAGTTGACACAGTTAATATGGAGGTAAAATACATAATGATCCAAATGGGTTACAATGTTATTTACAGGTACAAAAATGATATCGATGTCTACATTCCAAAATAATAATGTGTAATTTTATTTTATGATTAAATATTTTTTCAAAACATAAAACGCCATTGTTCATATTGTTTTGCAGAATTTTTTGATGCTATAATTTCATGCAACCATCCAGAATCAATAAAGTTTTTAAATAAATGACAGCTATTCCTATTGTTTGTTATATTTTTTGTTTGACTTTGCTTAAAAGATCCGATTTTGCATTTAGGTATATCTCTGCATAGAAACATTTGTTATTATTTCATCAACTAAGTTTTATTTATAACAAAAAAAACTGTAACTGTAAAGCCTAGTTTCTTATCACCCGCTATATTTGTTACATTATAGTTTTAAAAATTTCGAGAAATTTTGTATAACTATATTTTTAAGTCGTCTATATATAATTTTTATTTTACTGATAGCTGGTGACTGGAAACTTATCTTTACTTCTTTATATTTTTATACACAAAACTATACTAATTTGTGCCTTTTAGTGGGTGATAAAAATTAGATTTAACAGTAAGTACACTCTTAACACATATCCCTCAAAATATCCTCCATTTCAACCCCACCCCAAGCATTCAATCTTGTTTTAATAATAAAAGACCCTTGAACATTAAGGTTGCTCATGTGTTGTAGTTTAATATTTTAAAATCTTAATTATGATTCATTAAATTTCAAAAAATATACCAGAAAAACTCAAATGTGATAATAACTGTCATAAATATGATTTAATATAAAAAAGTTGATGTTTGATTTATACTATCGAAAACAAACCATCGAATACACTAGAAAACTAGTGTAAAATGAAAAGCAACTTTAAAGTCCACCACCCACATCTTCCAACCTTCCCCAAAACCACGACCGCTAACCCAAAAAACAACTGACGCTTCATCTTTCTCTCTTTCGCAGTTCCGACTTTCCATTCAGGCCACACCCGAAGCATACGAGGCAGATTAGAAAGAGAGCGCGAATACGAAGAATACTCGGATAGAGAATTGAACACCCACGTTTCCCACGATGACTATAGAGAGCGCATCCCCACCTCGAGGTCGCGCGACGAGGAGTTCACCAGCCACAGAGGAGCTTCCAGACGCGCTCTCAACGCCATCTAGTGGAGGCTTACAACGGAGCAACCCATTGAAGAGGAATTTCCAGAGGAACTATCTCCAAAAGCGGAGGCTTACTACAAGCCTCAGATTCCCCGCGAGTACAGAGATACCAGATCTGATAGAGAGCGACGGTACGATGACTTGGATCGCCGTGGTATCCCGGAAGAGAGAGAGCGGTATCCGGAGCGAGTGCGTTACTCCGAGGGGCCGAGCAGACGGTACCCCGAGGAGAGAAGGCCGGGCTTGGAGAGGAGCAAGACGGAGGGGAGAAATTACAGGAAGGAGCTTATGGAGAGATTTTCCGAGATGGAGATCGATGATAGTCAGGAATTTTCTGGTCGACATAGATACTACGAGTGAGTGTGTACAACGCCGATGTTTTTAACGTTTTTTGGCCTAAATATTTGTAATTCGTGTGTTCTGGGATGGGAGGCTCAAGCAAAAATTACTAAAAATAAAAGTTTTAAACGGTATTACCCTAAACCTTATTCACAAATTATTATTATTAGAGTTACTTACGAGTAAATAGAAAACTCAGCGTCCAAATTTAGAGAAAAAGTAGAGTTAAACGATGGAGTTATTTTTCAATTAAACTTTAAAACGCTATTTTAATTAGTAAAATGTAAATGTTCATTCATATTTTATTTTTTGAAAACGTTTATGAAATCGACAGAAAACTATCTAAAGAATGCCAAAAATATAGTAATTAAATAACAGTTTTTAAACTATCGCCATTTAACATACGTTGTGTTAAGCGGGAGATAAAATATAGTAGTATTTTTTCCTGTCTTTTTTAAGTTACATTAAATTTAACAGTATGGTTGGATGTTTTAATTCGTACTCTGCATGGCCTTACCCTTCTTATGCTATTGTAAATTGATATGAGACAGGGGTGGCGTATAAATCTTAAGTATTTAAATATGTATGAACAGAGATATTTGGCTATAAAAACAAAAATTTTGATATGTAATTATAAATTAATTTCTTCTGTAGGAGTTTGTTTCCCTAATTTTGAAACATCCTGTAGTAAATTAAAATTATTTTTCTAATGAAACTAAACTTTCCGGGGGAAAATCATGAGAATTTATGAGAAGTCTTGAGAACTACATGTTCTGGTATTTACTATTTAAATTATAAAAAACTCGGATAAATTAATTTAGAGTTATTAAACACAAAATGATATAATAATATAATAACTCTAAATATTAATCTTAAAGTATTGTTTTTTAAATTTGGAAAGAGTGGGTTTTTAAATTAACTCATATCGTCTAGAATCTAGACCAGCCATACTCAACCTGCGGCCCCCCATGCTGTTTTGTGCGGCCCTCCAAGCTTTTTTGTGCGGCCTCAAACACGATTATTATATAGTAATTGAAATGGTTGACCTACAGTCCTGTCCTCTTGCGACTTTTCAAAGCTTATTAAGGACCGATTCCACCGTTGTGTTAAGTGAATTTTAAAATGACATTTTTACATTAACAATGTCATTTTAATCTCCGTTTAACACAACGGTGGAATCGGCCCTAAAACAACATGAGGAACTTCTTTTTTTTTTAATATTTAAAGCGGATCCCTATCGTCACCCATTGTCCTTTATTTCCATGTCAAAAAATATTGTGGCCCATGTAGCATAACAAAGAGATTTATGTGGCCCGAAAGAAAAAAAGGTTGAATACAGTTGATCTAAACGATACAATTTCCGAAATAAGATTGTCTAAAAAACAACTAAATTTTCCTGAACTATAATAATTTCTGATGATGATAATAATAGTCCGAATAACTTTTAATTAAATTTGGAAAATAAATATATAAATCTCAAAAATATATTTAATTTACGAATTTTTAAAACAAAATAAATCAATCGATTTGTTTTTAAGTAATTTTTGCTTGAGATGTAAAGAGGCATAAATCCACACGTGCCTAAACCGATGTACAAACAACAAATTGTAGTATCTTTCTCGACTTGCTTCAATGGGATGTTCCGTTAATTGTGATCAATGCTACAGGGTGACAACACAAAAAGATTCCAATGATAACATTTGAGAAGGAAAGCAGAATTAGAAACTGATATTTTCGAACGCCTGCGTTACCAAAGATGTTCTGTTAGATTTACCCTCTAACAATTATACGTTCTTTTATTTTCTAGTATATTATTTTTTAAGAATATTCATATATACTGAAAGTATACTTTATTTGCATTTAGAACATTAAAAATCATGATTCCTATACTTTCCTTATGTGTATACAGATAGGAAAGTAAAAATGAATTGTAGATTCATAAGCCAAAATTAAAATGTTAAATTTCCCACCTAAAAACATATTTAGTAATTGTACAGCACTGATTCGGCCTCATTCCCCATGTTAATTCCCATAAGAAATCGCTAAGGTTCATTTGGGAGTTTTTGTCTAAATCAAGGTCACGCGCTGTGCTATTCGCGGCGGGTGTCGCAACGGATGGGCGTATAAGAAGAAGCGAGGATAATTCAAATATATATAGATTCAATTGGATCGTAAACCACCTTCCTGAACGAAATACTCTAGATGCCTATTATTCTTTAAATTTAAATGTTACCTGAGAAGAATTTATGCAGTACATTTCCCCACCATCTTATATATTGATTAACATTAGACTAATGTTTTCCAATATAAAGAGATATAACTATGGCGCGTTTTATTTAAGAGTGGTATCCCCTGGAGGCCTAATCCACTTCCAATAAAGTAGTTAAGTAATCATATCTTTTATCTATCTAGATTGATATATTTTTATATGACTCTTTTGATGTATAGAATCTTTTTTAATGGCTCTTTTTGTAAACCTCATCGGCTCTAGATTGTAACTAGGGTACCGATGGGAATTGGCATCTTTTTACTTATCTAAATTGATTTTTATATGGCTCTTTTAATAAATAGAATATTTTTTTAAATGGCTCTTTTTTGTTTACCTCTCTAGAGAATTCTTTTTTACCACGGTAATATGAGATCTTTTTAACGTCTCTTTTAGAAATGAATACCTAACCACTTTTTTACTAATTTTAGCAAAATAGCATATTATATTTGAGAAGATTTATCCAATTTTAAAACTTACCACCCATAGGATCATCATTGATTGAATAATGACCCCATGATAACGTTTCATCTGACCCAGTAATTAGAATTCTTTTATCATCTTCATGACTGAGAGCTACTGAGATTTTACTACAGATGACTTTACACCCTTAGCCTTCTTTGTCACGCCGCAATTATCAAAAGAGTAATATAAAAAATAAATCTAGATAAGTAAAAAGATGCCAATTCCCATCGGTACCCTAGTCACAATCTAGAGCCGATGAGGTTTACAAAAAAGCCATTTAAAAAAGATTCTATATATCGTAAGAGCCATTTAAAAAGATCGGTAGCAATTATCAAAAGAGCCATTATACCAATTTAGATAGATATAAGATGCCAATTCCCATCGGTACCCTAGTCACAATCTAGAGCCGATGAGGTTTACAAAAAGATTCTACATATCAAAAGAGTCATATAAAAATATGTCAATCTAGATAGATAAAAGATATGATTACGTAACTACTTTATTGGAAGTGGATTAGGCCTCCAGGGGATACCACTCTAAAATAAAACTCGCCATAGTTCTATCTCCTTATATTGGTCAACATTAGTCTAATGTTAATCAATATATAAGATGGTGGGGAAATGAACTGCATAAATTCTTTTCAGGTAACATTTAAATTTAAAGAATAATAGGCATCTAGAGTATTTCGTTCAGGAAGGTGGTTTACGATCCAATTGAATCTATATATATTTGAATTATCCTCGCTTCTTCTTATACACCCATTCGTTGCGACACCCGCCGCGAATAGCACAGCGCGTGACCTTGATTTAGACAAAAAACTCCCAAATGAACCTTAGCTATTTCTTATGGGAATTAACATGGGGAATAAGGCCGAATCAGTGCTGTACAATTACTATATTTTCTTTACTAAAAATGAATTAACAGCGATATCATTGAACTGAAATACCTAATTGTTGTTTTTAATGCCAAAAAAATAGGTATGAAAAATTATGAGGCTTTTTTATCATTTCTTTTAACGTATTAGTGTTGTTTTTTTTTTTGTTAGAGTATTGTTACTAGTCATTACTGGTGGGTTTTTCAGAAGATTGGTATGTACAACCAAGTTCTGATGCAGCTCGGTGCAATTCTTTTCTTTTGACTGTGGTTAATCTTCAACCCCAGTTGGTATTTTTGGAGTTGTAATCTCCACCGATTATAAATTTGTTACCTAGTTTTTTGAGTACATTCAGATAATTTTCTTTTTTCTGGTTGTATTTTGTTGTGATTACCTAAATTATTACCAGTAACTGATCGGTTTTCTTTGATTGGAACTAATAAATACTTAGAATCCTATATCTTGTCAAATGTTCTATTTTTCCATAAAATTTTTAAAAGCTTTCGATCATTTTTCGCTTCAATCTAAGTCATATTGCTCATTATTTTTTTATAGTTTCAGTAGTATTATTATGATTATTAACATATTTGTAACATTCTGTTCTACCACATTTACATAATGACATGGAATCTCTTCGATATCCATTTTAGTTTAATACAATTTTATTAATTTTAAATCAATATTAGAAATACCCCGTATTATATAAAATGTTTCGTTTATGATACTTGTAGTTTTAATTTTCCATCCCTATTTGTTTTTTACATAATAGGCATTTTTCTAAATTTCAACTCGTTTATTGTATGTCAAACATCAAAATTATTAATGAAAATTAATTTTAACAAACATCTTTTGTAACTTAAAAATTGAAAATTACTTTTTTTAAAGCTAGATACGTAAGTATATTTTTCAAATGTTTTTATGGGTCCTTTTTGTGAATGCGTCTGTACAAAACTTAAAAAAATTGACCATTTCGGTGCCATATTTGAGTAATAGCTCAATTTTTAATCAATCTTTATTATTAAAATGGAAGAGTATATTCAAGCTTTAACCTAGGATTTTTAAATTAATTTTTAAGGAAGGGTATTGTTAAAAAATCGTACTATTTATGTATTTTATATGTTAATGTATAATAACTTACTGCTCAGTCTTACTAGGTAAAAAATTGGCTACATTGTATAAAGTTTCCTAATTTATATATTTTTTGTTAAAATAATAATAATAATATTATTTTATCGTACATTAAACATAAGTAGGAAAGTACAGTGAAAGTTACTCAAATTTTTGCAAATTGTTTTCAAAACGAAAATTCGAGTAACCGCACCTTATTTTCAATTTTGATGTACCTAAGTCTTTGGCAGAAATAAAAAGACGCTTAACTAAAATATTAAAAAAAAAAAACAATGTAAAGATGTCTCGTACTATATTTGTATAACTAGTCTGACTGGGCTATAACAGAACTGAGATATTATACCTTAAAGGAAAGTGTACTCTATATTGGAGTGTAGGTATTTCGCTTAATTTTTCATAGTAAGGGAGAATGAAATTGTTATTTACCATTGAAATATTTACCTATTTAAGTACAATTTTTCTTTGCTAAATTTGTTTTGTAATTAAACAGTGTCAATTATTTTCTTAATTTATTATGTGAAATATGTTTTTATTACTTTACAAAGAATAAAAAGATGTAAAAAACAAAATTTTTAAAAAATTGATTGGTTTTTAGGTATATTTGAATTATGAATGCAATACTAATTAAGATTAGACAAAATAGCCCCTTTTCGATTTAAAAATTTGAAAAAAATATAATGCAGTAAAGTTATAGTAAAGGAAAATCTTAAATAAAATTAGGAAACGCGAAAATTTTCATATATTATCGTAGCAAATTTTTTCGACACAAATTTAAATAAATAATCAAAATTTCCGAAAAATTGTTAATAAAAGTAAATGCTAGACTTAAACATATATAATAAATTACAGTAAAAAAACATAGTTTCAACAATTCTCCATTATGAATTTTAATTTTCCAGAACTAAATTTTCTAGGAAAGTTAAAATTCAGAGCAATTTCAGATAAAACTATAAATTTGCATCCTTTTAACTTATTACAAACGTTAAAAAAAAACATTATACATTACAAATTTGTATTTCAGTGGTAAAAAAATAATATTTAAACTGACCCTGTACAACTACCTTCGTGATATTAACGTCAAGTATTTGACTGACTCTAGGACAAATTTAGATGAGGATTGCACAAGCTGAAAATGACAATGCATGTCGAATTTTTTCCGAAAAAAAAAATGCCAGCTAATTCGTAATTGTAATTTTTTACATTTACTGAAAAGAATGTTTTTCGGAGGATTTTCATGATTCGTACCTACTTGTTCATATGTTATTGTTTATACCGTGAAACAAATTAAATTTGTATGTTTTTAACCGTTAATTACTTTTCAATGAAAGGTGAGAAAATCGGTTTAGATCCGAAAACGGAAAAATGCAATTTTTGGAAATGTGAATATATGGATAATCCCTAATTCCACCTACAAAATTAAAAAATGTATCCCCACATTCTTAAAGTAACTTTTCACATATTTAATTTATAGATTAATAGAGGGCAGGGTGGGACAAAACATTTTTACAAAAAAATATATATTTTAATTGATTACTTATATACCTAATTGTTTTGTATATGAATTTGAACTGTAAATTAAATTACTACAACGTGACCGAAATTACACATCGCTTTTCCGGTAAAACAATGACGTAAATAAAAAATTATAAGTTTTTCAGGAGAGACAAAAAACGAATATTATTGCTTCTGAATTTGGGCACATAAATCACAAAGAACTTGTCCTAAACAGCAAATACGACATTTAATCATGGAGTCAGTAACGTCTCCCTTAAAGACAATGACACAACTGATTCATGTGTCATTGTTTTCCAAAAATGACAATATTTTAAAACTGACGCAACTACCATCTAACAGCCGCGAGTGGATATAAAGTTACGCCATTATTATACCGTATAGAGAGACTAATTTGGAAACTAATGACATGTTAAAATCAAAATGGCATAATTTTGCACTTGCGTCATTGTTTTACTGGAACAGCAACATATAGACCATGCCATATAGAGTTATACTGCCCTCACAAGGATGAACGCTGTATGTCACAAAAACATAAAAGTGAGAAAACATGTTTCTTGTGTTTTCTCTCAGCCTTCACTTGAGTGTCGTCAAACTTAAATTTTTATGGTGAATCACTTTTTTTTGCAATAGTTGTATATTATTTATATAGCTAAAATTTTAAAAATTACTATATTTTTCTGCAGTTCTATATCTCTGCAGAATTTATCATTCTAACCAAAAACGTTGTGGCTCGAACAATTATCCAACCAAAACACGGAGTAATTGACATTTCTTTGGCTTAGCATAGAAGCAAAAAAAGCGCTAATTATGTCCTCCTTATTACGTCCGGAAATCGATTCATTCCACAGGACTGCAAAAGATTGTAATTTCTTTGTACTGCCAAGAGCAACAAAACTTTCATTATAGGCAATGAGTCTTTCACTGAAGATAACTCTTTTGAAGCTATCTATCCGTACAAGCATGATCACTTTTTGGAGATTAAAACGGTATCGACATTAGAAGACATGCTTACTTGCTCTTGATAAAGCTCTCGAGATTTCTTAGCAAGGTTGATATGTAACTGCCATTTATCATAAACCATACAGTTTTCTTGAAAGTTATCTTTTGTATGGCCATGGAGTTTAAATTCCTCACACACCTCACACTCCTCTTGGCCAAGTTTTGCAAACGAAATTATACTTTCCTTAATACGAACCCTATAGGAATCATAAGAAACTTTTGTATCTGGGAACTTGGACTTAAAATCTTCATACATTAAGAAAACTGAAAAGTCGCTAGGACGGTACAATCTGTTTGGAGCATGTTCTCGTTTATAGTGAGAAACTGAAGGATTAAAGGAAAAGATATGCTCTTTAAGCATGTCCTCATCGATTTTGTATTTCTTTGGCGTTTTTCCTCTTCTATTGGCCTTGGCATGAATCATATTTTTGGGGTCTCTGAAAGAACATCATGTAAGAGCCTGTCATTGTTTTTATGAAACCCAAGTGTGATTAGGTAATAGTATATTACACACCGAGGTGGGAAGAGTTTCATTCCTGTCGTGAGATTAGTTAGATCACCGAGACGCGAAGCGTCGAGGTTAGCTATGATCTCGAGACAGGAATGAAACTTCCTACCGAGGTTTGTATACTATTTTATTTACAACCATCATATTTCGATCAAAGTTAATAAATCTCTGTTTCGTTCTGAACATAGCTAAAATATTATATTTAACGACAAATTACCAAGCGCGCGGTTTTCTCAGAATAATCAAGTAAATATATTGTTACTGTGATTACGGGGTTAACAACTGTCACCAATATAAATAAATGTCAGATAAAGCCGGATATTAAATTCGCCAATAATAAATATCAATAAGTAGTTTGTTGTATTTTAGTTCATTGTTGTTTTTTATTGTTTGCCATTAAATAGGTATTATAAAATTTGTCAAAAAAATGTGTTATTTTTTTTTTAAATATAAAAAATATTCATCTAGAATAGATGAAATGAGGGCGGGAAGTAGAGGTGTGTAATGTGACACTTCCCAACCTTAAATGACATTAGTAATAACATTACATATATGGTTGTAAATAAAATATTTTACAAACTTCCTTTGATTCACCTTTTTCATCCTTTAGAAAATATTTAAATGTATTCTTCTTTCTGTAGTTTTCATCAGTTTTACGGTGCTTCTTAACATTCAGCCTTGAACAGGACGCCAAAATGTAATTTCTTCTTTCTTGTTCCGTCAAACTTCAACGTCAAACGTCAAACAAAGTTAATTTGTTGCATTCGATTTTCAGATATTATTGATATGCACTTTTTTCTGCAGATATTAACTGAACAAGGTGGAACTACTTTATGTTTTTCAACTAGCAATTTACACTTTTCTGCTTTTTCTAATCTGATTTGTTCTGATGTTCTCTTCTTTCTTCTTTTTCTTGGTTCTCTATTTTTTGTGCATTTTGCCTAACTATATCAGCAAGTGATAGGTTGTTTTCAGAGTCACTACTTTTTACGACTTCATCATTTTTCCGATTCTCAACTGCTTTAAGCACATCTTTTTTCATTTTTCTTTCTCCGGTGAAACTATCGTGTCCTTCATCAGCAGATCCTACACCGGAAATGATATTTACATCTTCCTTGTGTTTCAGTTTTTCAGTAACGTCTTAACCACTTTTTCCAGTTTCCATTTTTTCAATTTCCATTTCTTCAGTACCGTTTTGGCCACCTACTTCAATTTCTATTTCGTCAGTATCGTTTTGGTCACTTTTTTCAATTTCTATTTCGTCAGTATTGATTGTCTTTATACCGTCATTCTTAGCATTGCAAATATACTGCGTTTATCCTTAGCAAGGATGGGTGGTTTGGTACATACGGCAAAAAAGAATATCGCTTTTACAAGGAAATATCAAAGATACGGCAATTTTAGTTATAAGACGATTAAACATATGTGTGATAAACCATGTCATGCCCTTAACTTAAATTTGAAAAATTTGGATCATACCGCGTTCATCCTAATGACGGCAGTATAGTAAACCACTTACCAATCTTTTAAGACACTGGAATTTGTGCAAATGATTTTTTTATTTTGAATTTTTTAGAAAAATGGTTTTTGTTATCTTTCGAACTTTCAAAACGGCCGAAACGATTGGCAAAGGGTTTAGTAACGCCCTGTATAGGTTCATTTTATAAACGTGTATTTGGCTTAATTAATGTTGTATTATTACATATTATTCCAAAAATATATACATTGTCAATAAAAGATAAGTCATCAAATCAAATGACAACCCTAATGATGGATAAAATATAATGTATTATTAAAAAATACGTTATTGAACTTATACTTAACCTACATATGAACAAATACAACGAATTTTGAAAATCAAAGCTTTAAAAAATTGTTTATTTCGAACTGCATGAGTACCACGGCATCCAGTGGTATCTGTAATCACCGACCAATTTCAACTACACTAAACAAGTATTTGTATTATACAGTCCTGTAAAAAGTCCCTTCGCATTGGCCGAGTTCAAATTGACTTAGTTTCGAATCTAAAGCGAGCCTGCTTCAGTTCCAAGTAGGTACATCTAATTAAAAAACCTAGCAATATATCTTTTTATATTCTTTTTGGTCAAGTACCATAGAAGTTTTAAAAAATTACTAGACATACAGGATACCGAGGATTTAAGAAACAAAATTGGTAAAAGGGCATTTGTTGTGGGTGGAATAAATTTAAACAATAAATTATATTTTGCGGGATTACTTTTTGTGTTTTTACCTCATTATTAAAGATGATCACCTTTGAGATATTGAGTACCCTTCAAGATAAAACTATTTAAAAAGATAATGTTTTTGGTGCGACTTGGAGCTGAAACTTGTCGAAAAATCCTCATTTAGAATTTTGAGCTTCGGCAAATGCGTTTAATCCTTAAATATAAATATAGTGCCATAATTATTTTTTCTTTAGTCCTATTATAACTAGTACTTATTAACAAAATACTTATTAATGGCTTCTCCGTGTTACCAACGCAATTTAAATAGAGGTGAAAAGATCGTCCTGAAATAAATTACGTAATATACAGTGTATGCCAAAAAGATGAAACAAAAAGTATTGGCGAAAATGTTTTCAAATTATAATTTTATTGTACTATTGTTTTGAAATGTAAGATATCAGATCCGGTTTCCTAGATATTTGAGGAAACTAAATATGTACATTTTCCTATTTTTGGATCTGGTGCCTTTATTTAAAAAAATAACAAAGACAGGAAATAAAATGTTTATTTTACTGTAGATAGAGCTTACGTTTCTGTAGACAAATTTTCAATCCCACGTTTCAGATCTGAAATGTCATCAGTAAAATTATTTTTAAATACAAACCTGTATTTTTTTTGCGTTTTAATTGACCATTGATTAAATGCATAATATTTTCTTTTCGCGACACTGTGGGACAGTATTTCCAACACTTCACTCACCTTTAATTCTTGTGGGAGGGTATCCATGATTTGTATGCATCTTAAGTAGTCTTGAGCCTGCAGCAGTCCAAACTTCATTTTTTCAATTGGAGTATTGGGATGTATGTTACAATACTAATATTGTACTATAGTCTATTTTTATGTATGAGAGAGTATTAAAATAATAAAGCGTTCGTAATCCATAGGCGTACCACTTCTTTTAGTAGACAGTTAAAATATTTTTTGAAGTTATTCCTCGAGTATACTCTTATATTTTCACCTAATTAACCTGCTTATAACTTCTAAACAGCTGAAGGTAAAAAAGTGCAATTTTTTCTAAAATGTTTTATTTTTCCACAAGGTATGTTAAGAACATTGTGTCAAAAGGATTATGTAGGTATAAGGGTTTAAACTTTGACTTTTAAACAACGTTACGTTCATAAATAATAATTTTAATATAAAAACTACTTCTTACCTACAAATCATTTCATCAATAATATTGTCCAACTTCCACATTTTCTCTTCTTCTTTAATCGTATGATTTACTGCCTTTTCCTAGTTTTCAGGCTTCACATTATTTACAGCCTCCAAAAACAACTGTTTAACATCACTCATTTTAAAAGAATTATTTTTTTTTTGAAACTTCTCCCTTTATCTGTGCCCATATCAGTTCAATCGGGTTTACTTCGCAATGATATGGTGGTGATCTAACCACCGTCATCCCACGATTTTTTGCAATTTCATCAATTTCATATTTTTTGAATTTCTCTTTATGAAGGGAACACAAATGATAGTTCTTTTCTCACAGAACCGGGATGGAACTTAATATTCTTTGAATTTAGCCAATTCTGTAAATCTTTTTTTAATCACTTGGTTGTGGGCATTTTTTCTATAAGTCTCGAGTGATAACTTGCATTATCCATTACTATTATACAGTTCTGAGGAAGAAGATCTATAATTTGTTCTAACCACTCTTTAAAGACATCAGCATTCATGTCCTCATGGTAGTCACCGGTACGAGTAGATTCAAAAGTCAATAAACCACCTTTAAGAAAACCGTTTGAACTACCGATGTGTCTACGCCCCTTTCCTGATGGTGGATTTAAACCAGTAGATACATTATTTAAAAAAGCCTGTCTTCGACTTGTAACAGTTTCATCTTGCCAAAATTTATTTGGTTTATGTCCCTCGTTAATCCATGTTTCATCTAAATAAAATATATTTCTTCTTTGGTTTCTCATTTCTTTTATAGTCCTTAGGTAATTTCTTCTCCATACTACAATATCGCTTCTTTCTATTAAAATAGACTTTCTGGAATGCTTTTTCCATAGAAAACCTATTTCTTTTAATAGTTTCCATAGTGTGCTTCGACTCATTTCAGGGTAATCCGTATCATCTCGAACCGTGGCAAGAACTTTGTCTACTGTCGGAAATTCTTTTCTAAAGAAGAACGCATGCATTTTCCTTCGAAGTCTTTCTTTCAAAATATTTTCTAATTGAAATTTTGGTTTTCCTGGAGTTTTACGTGCTGTTTGAAACTCGCCACATTTCTCTTCTTTAACAACTCTGTAAATCGTAAATTTCCCAACACCAAGAGTACTACTAACTAATTCCACTGTGTCATCAACACTTACATAAATGTTTGTCTGTAAATGATTTAAAACAATTAAATATTAATGTTTTTTCATTAACTGTTAAAGGATCGATTTTTTGTCGTTTACGCGGCCCTTCAAAATTTTCCATGATCACACTAGAATTCACACTGCACCTTGCAAGTTGCAACTAAACGACATTTAGTAAACTGTCAAGAATACACAACTTGGACCTCCTTACTAAATGGAAAACCTATAATCGCATTTTCGGTGAAATTTGTTGGGAAGGTATTTATCTACTTATAATTCGATTACTGTAAGAAATTCTTGGAATTAAAATAAAACAAAATTGGCAAATAGGTACTTATTGAAAATAATCTTAAGATACGGCTATGTAATC